TAATTTAAGAAAAAAAAAACAACTTTGAATAACATTAAGTATAGATGAATAATTCCTTAAGCTATCTATCTATCTATCCACTTAACCAAAGCCAGCATTAATGGGAAAATATCAAAGCATGCTCATTAAAGTCAAGAACAAAACAAAGAGATCATTGACTATTATTCTGATTTAACAATTTCCTGGATGTTCTAGTCAGTGTAATTAGATAAGCAGAAACAATACGAGGTATAAAAATTGGAAAAACAGGAGCTAAATTTTATATTATTTGAAAATAATTATGTGGAAAATCCAGGAGAATTAACTGAAAAACCATTATTATTACTAGGAAAATTCACTAAAAGGCAAGATCTGGTACAATATTAATATACCCAAATCAATAGCTTTCAATATATATAAAACAATTAGTAGGAAAAAATAAAATCCTCAGAATGTATCACTTTTTCCCAAGCATCCTATTCTCCATCATGATTATCACCTGTTTGCCCGTTGGTTTCCAGGAACTGAAATGCTACCTCCTTGCCCGCTTCTTCCCTGAGGGATGATGCTCCTTTGAATGCAGCACAATGTCACCACCTCCAGGAAGACCTCTCTGACCCTATGTGTGTTTGGTATCCTTTTTCTATGCTCTGTTCTTGTTTAGACATCACACTCTCATAGTGCTTATCACACTGTGCTCTGTCTGATTATAGGCTTCCTCCCCTATTTAATTGTGAGCTCCTAGAGAAAAGACACCTTGACTGCATTCTCTCTGTATGCTCAGAGCCTACCACCAGACCCGGCAAAGATTAGGTGCTCCAGCAAAGTCCACAGGAGATACTATGTTAGCTTTTGATTCTCTTAATAAGAAATCATGACCCTGGATGGCATATTGGACCAGAAAAATAAAGGTTTTATTTGCTACAGAGAAAATTAGTGAAATTGACAAAATTTGAATAGATTAAAGGTTGCCAAAAAAAAAATCATGACCCAAACCTTCAGATAGATAAATGAAGATGGACACATAGATAGAGATATGATAAATTCATATGTTAAAAAGCAGGTGCTGGTCGGGAGGTTGTTATGCCTCACTTGGTCATGTTTATGGATTGTAACTGTTTCATTGATGAAAGAATAAATTCAGTAAAAAAATTTATTCAGTAAAATGTTGTTCCAAGCTGTTAAATTGATGAATCCATAGCCTATTTGTTCTGGAAACAAATGGTTATAGGTTTTATTTGGTTTCTTTTCTAAAATATTTGTAATTTTTGTTGTTTTGACTTTTAGGATATCTTGTTAGTTTTTAATTATTACAATTATTAATATTATTGGTTTCCCTAAATGAAAACCTTCCACTTGAACATAAAAAGTAGAATGTATATACTTCATAAGCTGATAGTTTTGCCATAAAAAATATATAAACACTTCACCAATGGAAAAAAAATAGATTAGGGGCTCCATAAATGAAAAGATGGGTGAGCAGGTATGTGGACAGAAGGATGAGAAGATGAATGACAGAATCCACTCTCTACATGATAACCCAGATGATATTTTAAACATGAAAATTGGATCACGGCATTCTCTTACATAAAAATTTCAAATGCATGTAAATAAAACCCAAAAACCTAAAGAAGAAAAAAAAGGACAGAATAGTGTGTATAGTATGCTATCGTTTGTGGGCTTGAGAAAGAACAAACAAGATGGTGGGAGACATTTTATCACTGTATATCTTATGTACTTCTTGAATTCTGAAATACATATATGTACAAAAATAAAACACTTTATTCTTTTCTATAATTCCAAAATGTTCTAAAATGAACATGTGCTTCTTTTCGTAATAATTGCGTTTAAAGAAAACTTCAAAAATAAAGCACCTTTAATTACCATAGTCTTGGAGTTAGTTCCTCATCATTTTGAAGCCATATATATCTTTCTTTTTTTGTAGCTTTGAAGTTTCGAATGAACAGTTTGAAAAATGGCAAACTCTGTTGCCCCCCTTTAAAACACAAATCCACCTTTCTTGGCTTAGATCTAAGGTACCCTAAGTTTTCTTCCTATTTTAACATTTGTGATTTATGTCAGTAGCTCTTGATCTTTAGTGAGCTGGAAATTAACCCAGGGATTTTGCTAAAATTCAGATTCTCGGGGTCCTACCCCAAGACATTCTGAGTCTGTGGGTCTGGGTAGAACCCTAGAACCTGCATTTTAACATTACCACAGGAGATTCCAATGTAGGTGCTCTACAGAACACACTTTTCAAAACGTTCATCCCTGACTTGTTAAGAGAACTTAGTATTTTTCATATAAAAGTGAGAAATAGTACAGAATTTAGATTTGAAAGTGATCTCTTCTGACTCCTAGACACACAAATACTACTGATGCTTATAAACATCTGTATTATGCTATATGCCTTATAATGTGGTTCTTTGTGTCCTCACCTTGCTTTCTCTCTCAGCTTTTTGAGAGTGAGATCCAAGTCTTTTCTAACCTGGTGCTCCAGGTTAGAAAATGTTACTTTCTCTGGCTTGGGGATCAAGTTTCTCTGCCCGCTGTGTAAGTTCCTAGTCTTCCCCCGCACCCCGCAACAAAGCTCAGATGTGGACAAGCACAGTGCTAACGCCCTCAACCGCAATACTTCCTGTTAAGTCTAGAGAGGAGCTGCTGTATTGAAAACTGTACAAATCACTCTGGTAGCTTTCTATGACTTTCCCAGGACCTCTGATAAGCCCTTTCCTCTGTGAATCTTAAAGTGAAAAGACTGCCTGAAAAAGCAGCACAAGTGGCTGCTTTTTCCCAATAGGTTTTTTAAACTACATAAATTATCAAGTGTGATGGGACCCATGACTTATAGCGGCAGTTCTATGCTACCCCCTGGTGGCAAGATGCTCCAAGTCATCCCAGCCCCATCCCATGTCCTGGCTCTTACTGTGGACTCAGACTGCAGAAGCTCATTTATGTGATCCCAACAGTGCCAAGCCGAGTGTGCCCACAAATATTTGCTGGTAATAGTGCGAGTGGCAAGAAACAAAAACACACAGTTAGAATTTTACTTTCTTCTGCTCAACTGAGGATCAACTGTATAACTTTCTAATTTTTTTTTTTTCCGAGAGTTCATGAGCTTTAATGTACAGGTCAGTCAAAAGTGGAAGGCCTCCTAGACTCAAAGCGCAATCTTAATAATAGCACTAAAGGTAGACGCCTAAATCATCACTGGTAAAACTCCAGAGCTTCTGAGAAAGATCACTGTACTCACCAACAGGAGAGGATAGACATTCACCCCCACTCAGACCTAGAACCATTAGAACGGGTCAGGGCTAGCATGGAAGTGATTGTCCTAGAGACACAACTCAGATGACTTAGCCTGAACAACACAGAGGACTAAGAGAGAGAACTGAGTAGTGGTTTATTCAGTTCTGGAGATTAGAATAAGAAGAAATATCGTAGGGTGGCAGTGGGAGTAAAGAAGAGCTTGAATTTTGTACCTGAATTTCTTCTTTTTAGGGATCACTAGGAGAAAAAAATTAGTAATAAACGCAGCCCTACCCAAAGCAGGGGAGAACACATTGGATGGCATTTTGGGGTCCCTTCCAGCTATACAAGTAGAGGTTCATTAACAGCCCCTGTGAATAGGCAAGATGAAATAATGTGACTAAGAGCAAAAACCAATTTACTTGTAAGATTCGGACAGAAATGACTTCACCTGTGTATACAGCTATCCTACGAACTGAATGCAGCTCTGAGATTTGAAGTCCCCTGATGACAGAAGCCTTTAATAAAAGCTGCTTGCTGGGCTAATGGGCAGGCCCTGAGTAGAAATTCTCAGATCAATAGGCCTTTTTAAATTCAGGAAATCAAGGCTACACCTAAAGCTTAATGGTCTGATAAGAACAGCAAATACATACGGTCCTTTTGTCTCTTCCACAGCAGGCATTTAATTGGTTCGCACCCCACTTTTCCTAGAAGTTAATGCTGTCATTGTGCAAACTTTGGGAAGAGGTGAGCAAGGAGAGATGACAACCGTTCCCAGGAAACTCCATGAAATATGGGTTTAAGGCAATCTAAGCTCCACCTTATTAAAAAACAGCTACATCTTCAACGAATGCTAGTGAGGTGCATTCATAAGATGAGTCTCATCTATGCTTAAAAGAAGTCTCTACTTTCCTGGAATTGACAATTGGCTCTACTGTTCCTAATTCAGACTTACAGGCAATTCGTTTCAGGGCAAAGTTTGAATTCTACATTTTTAAAATGCTCATTAGAACAATGCTTATTACCCTGGGCATTGCACTGATAGAGGATATTTCTTCCCTGTATTTGGTTCTTATGAAATGGAAAGCTCAAGTAAAATATCGGGGAAATGAAGAAAACCTTAAGAAAATAAATCACAAAACAAAAAGAATATATCTTAAACACAATCAAAATTTGCATGTTTAATAGGGATTCATCTGTTTCCCATACTTTCTACAGGTCCACTTCAGACAGAAGTTCCTGGCAGAAAAGACTTCTTCAGGAGCTAAAGGGACCTTCTATTTAATTGGATGACTCTGAGGGACAGCCAAACTCCCAGTCAGCAAAGCGCTGGAGAAAGGAGCAATGCGTATCAGAAGAATTTCAACAAGGGCTGAAACACATGGGGGTCAGTTGGCTACAAAGTGTGATTAATAAGAACATCCCTTCAGTACTCCTCCTATAACTAAAGCTTATCTCACTCGATTACTGGAACTGCTTGTTTGTTCACCATCTCATTCCCAGCTAGACTGTATGCTTGGGAATACGTCTGTTTTTCTCATTACTGTATCTCAAACAACTAGCAGAGTGCTGGCATTCAATGGATAAAAGTTAAATTTAAATTGAGGTAAATTTTGCTATAATAAGTAAATCAGGCAAGAATGAAAAGAAAATTAACAATATCCTCCATTACTTAATACATATTTTCATAGAAAATGAATTCTAAAGTTAGAAACCTAACTAATTTCCTAAAATTTTAAGTTTGAAAAAAACGATTGGTTTAAAACTAAAGTCTTCTTACTCATCGGTCTGGTTTATTTTTAAAAAAGTATCTAACGGTTTGCTTTGCCCAATTTTAATGAACCCAAACTCTAACTTTGTATTGGAAGAGGAACACTGAAAACATGCCTGATTACTGCTATTTACATAATTGCTCGCTAGTTGCCATAGGTGGAGGGACAGTTTGCTTTAGGCCCTTAGAACCCATGAAATCACCTGAGCAGCCAGGAAGTCTGGAGTTCCACTTCCAGACTCCCTTTGTACACACTCAAGAATTTTTTTCTTGCTGAATTTATCATTAATAACTACTTATCAAATCTACCAATATTGACTCTGTGAAATCCCTCCCCGCCCATCACCTAAGACTCTGTCTTCTCTTATCAGGGTAGAATAATTGAGGAAAGTGGAAGATGCTGATAGGCAATGGGATCTGTTTCTGAAAAGCAGCTGTTAAAAATATTTTATTTTTCAATATCATTAATGACGGATAAAGTAAGACTTAAAACGGGAAGCAACTCCTCCAAAACAAAACAAACAAACAAACCCAAAACAAAACTTGCGACTTGAACTTTTCAGGGAAAAAATGTTGTAAATATGAAAAGATTTAAAGAGAACCTTTACTTTTAATATACAGTCCTGATGTACCTGACCATTATAACAAACAGCTGGACATTTTAAACAGTTATCTCCCAATGCCTTTCTAGTGCTCTAAAATCATCTCCCTCAAATAATGAGACAAACAAATCTCCTCTCTCGAGCACATAACTTTTATAAATTGCATCAGACCCACAGTGTTTTTCAGGGAGTTTCACCAAAACAAAGAGAAGTTCAAAGATAAAATTGCAGCAGATCGGGGAAAGAAGGAAGAATTGCATGGTCTCAGAACTAATCCGCAAGCCGTCAGTCTGAGGCACCTGAAACAAACCCAGAAGTCCACTCCCAAGGGCTAAGAGGACCGTGTAGTGTGGGAGCCTGGCTTCATGACAGGCGAGCTCGGTCCTATCTCCCCTCCAGGGGTCTAAACTGTAACTCGCGCTCAAACTGCTCTGCAGTCAGGGTGCCCTGGATGGCTTCGCAGCCCGGGTTGAACACAGAGTAGGCGCTCTTCTCTCCCTCCTTCTTCTCCCCAGGGCCTCGTGTCCCAACATACATCCAGTAGAACAAGGACAGGACAAAATAAGCCAGGCCAAATTCCAGTTCCACAAATAGTCCCAGCAGAACCAACCAGAGAAGGACCTTCAAGAAGGTGATGTTGGTCAGAAAAGACTGGTCTCCTGGCACTGGCAGGGGAACGGCTGTAGTCCGTGGGGGCTGTGATGTGCTGCTCTCAGGCTGAGACGCTTCCTAGGACACACAAACAAAAGTAAGAATAAAGGGTAATAGGGCTGAGAGGATCAACATCAATCTGGAGAGACAGCTCTCATCGCTCTGGGAAGGCTTCCAGCTCATTGATTTCTATTTTCTTGACCTGCTCTCTAAAACAATCATCTCTAAAGAGTTCACGTGCCCTGCTCCAACTGAATCAAAACGGATCAGCACTTAGTAAGATGTAACCCGATAAAAACCATGCAGCATTTGGATGGGCTCCCTCAGATGAATCTGAGCGAACAAGAGCTAATTTATGCCCCACACAGAAACTCCCCAGTAATTGATACTGCAATTGCCACGCGTGTGCTTCACACACAAAATCAATTTGTGTTTTGTGAGTGACATGATTCTAAAATGAGGACACCACCAGAAACAGGAAACAAAAATCCCTTCTACATATTAAAAAAAAACTACTGTTATAGCCACAACCTTTCCATCCCATGACCATCCTACACTCCCTCCCTAGGCCCAGGCAATGTCTCCTAAGTGGACTTTCCACCTCTCAACTCTTCCCTCTCCACACCAACCTATTTACGTACGGTTGCTAAATGAATCTCTTAAAATATCATCAATCCTCCTACTCACAAACCTTCAACAAATTTTTATTGCCTACAGGTTAAAATTTAAACTCCTTGGACTAGAATCCAAGGCCTTCCATTTAATTAACAGAAATGCCAGTACACAGTGCTGGGTGCTAATGAGACACACAGACATTTAGGTAGCTTTAGGGAGTCTGATATCTACTCCAGTATTTTCCAAACATTTTTGGGTGTGACCCACAATAAGAAATACATTTTATACTGCGACCCAGCATGTATGTATATATGGACATATGTATGTGTGTGTGTGTGCGTGTGTATATGTATATAGACACATAACAAAAAAAAGTTCGCAAATCAACAAATAACTTCACTACATATGAAGCTCTCATTTTCTACTCTATTTTTTTAAATTTATTTTTAACAGAGGACTAGATTTCTCTACATTGATTTCACCACTCGCTAATGGGTCATGACTTACCATTTGAAAAAGGATGGTCTAAAAAATTTCCTGTACAATTTATTGCTATATAAATAAACTCTCTGCTCCAGTTCAACTGGTATTACTACCCAAAGATACTACCCATCTGTGGCCTGGAACAGCCTCTGTCTCCTTTCCATTCCTCAGCTCCTTGCCTTCCATCCAGGAAAAGATGATTGGTGAACTGTGTATGCCCTGACCTCCTCAGCCATCAAGGAGGGTGACCTACTGCCTCCCGGATCACTAACTGCCTCTCTCTCTCATCGAGCACCAAACTATTTGGAATTGAAGTGTCTCACTTTAAATATAGGTCACATGTATCCCTAGATTGTTACCACGAGGCCACAAATTGCCATTCATTATCTTTTGGTATCTTCAGAGCCCAATGCAACACCTCACACAGAAGTTTTCAAGACAGAGCACAACTTTTTAGTTCATTTCTTCAATTATATCCCCTATTCTTCATGTGATAATTTAAAAAAGGTCACAAATATTATTTGGTCTCAATAAAAAATATAGGTCATGTGATTTCTGTTGCTTCAGAAATTCTATTTTGTTAGAACCCTCTTTTTTAGCACTGACATTGTAATTATTATCTTTTCAGTTAGATTGGAAAGGCCCTTAACATATCATCAGTAACATGTGCCCCACCCCACCCCCCGCCCCCGGCCAACACACATTTATTAAAGAAATAAATAAATGTTCCTTTCAGATGTGACCAGTGTGCACAATACTAAAATCACTGCAGGTCTTAGCAGGAACTAACATAATCCAATTTCTATTTAAAACTACTCTGACTGCCAGGTAGGGAATGGGCTGCAAGAATAGAAGCTGGGAAATTGTTAGCAGCTCACATAGAAGGCCCAGCGAGAGAAGACCAGGCAGAGATTAGGGTGGTAACCCACAAGTCAAAGCAAAATGATGGATTAATGGATACGCAATATATTTTGAAGGCATACAACCTGAAATACACAGTAAACTGAGTTTATTTTATTATTGAGGGAGTATAAAAATAATGCTTGTGGCTACCATGCTTGAGTGCCTTCAAGATGCCTGATCTCCTGTAATCCATGAGGCAGGCATTATTATTCCCATTTACTGGTAAGGAAACACTGAATGTTATAGAACTCCCCTAAAGTCACACAGCTAGTTACAGGCAGAGATGAGGTTGGTCTAGGATGCGAGGATGGTCTCCCTCACAAAGCCCTTTTTACTTAAGTAGGAGACTTTATGGGAGATGGTAAAGAGGAGGGTTAGAGAGCTAGGAGATGAGGGGTGGTTATATGAACTGGCAAAGGGAACAAAGAAAGGAAAAGAGGGATATGGAAATTCCTGTGCTTCACTTGGCATTTGTTTTAGTTCCGGTGTACCTTCTGCTATAAAAGCTATGTGTGGAAATGTTTATTTTCATCATAGCACATCATAGCACATATAGGCATAATTTGAGGAAGACACTTCTATTCCTCAAATACCAAGCTGCTTCCCACCTAGGGGCTTCTTGTATCTCCTTCCTTCTGAGAAGAATGCCCTCATCCCCTCCCATCACCTGGCTAACTCCCTCTTCTACAAACCTCAGCAAAAAAGGTTACCACGTGTGCTCTTGGCCTTGTTCCCAGGTTTCTGCAAGAGTGGCTCCTCCTTATTAAACGTCACCTCAATGAGGTCCTTCCTGTCCACCCACTTTAAAGTAGCACTCTAAACCCTCATCCCCAATTCACTATCACAGTACCTGTTTTTTCATCCTTCATACCATTCATTGTTCTGTTATTTTGTTTGTCTGCCTCCCAAACTCAAATGTACATTCCGTGAAGGCAGGGCTTTCTCTGTCTTTATTGCACTGTCTCCCCAGATTTAGCACAGTAGCTAGAATGTAGTGGGCACAGATAGGATTTTGCTGAATGAACGAATGGTGGCCAGGGAAAGAAACAAACTTAAAGGAAACTCTTGGATTTGAGAGGCTGATGCAAAGACTGTGCCTAGCCAGGTGACTCCAAAGAAAAGGACACTTAAGCAGTGGGTCAACCTGAACCAATGGTTAGAGGTGAGGAGTTGCAGGATGGGTGTGGGCGGTGGACGCTGGGGCTAGATGGTGACCTGAGAGCTGGTGGGGGGTATGTCTGGGGATGGAGACAGAGGGATTCTACAGAATTTTTTAAAAGTTACAAGACTTCTACAAGTCTTAATGTGGTAGAAGCTTGTCATGGAAAAAAATACTGTATTTTAGGGGACTGCACTTCCCCAAACTAAATTCGAGAGTAGGAGAATGAAGATATTGAGGCTTTCTTATCAATGACTACCAAAAAGAAGCAATTACAAATAGAAGGCTTACGAAATCTCTGCTATGCCACTGTGTGTCACCAAAATTATTAGGTGGAGATGTATTGTAAATTAGAAAAACACCAATTTAATGAGAATTTTCACACCAGAGCAAACCGAGGAATGATAACTGAGTCAATAAATATGAGCTCAGGACAGTCCCTTATGAAACAGTTTGATTAACAAGAACAAATTAGAGGTCTGGCATTTCCTCTTATCCTTTTGTCAGGCCGTCATCTTTTCGGTTTTTAATAATGGAAGCCTTCTCCAAGTTTAGATTCTTTGGGACCAACTCGATGACCTCATATTCTTTTGGTAATGAGACAGACAGTAAAAACCTCACTGTGTGGATTAGACATTGTTTTTTAACTGCAGGGAGAAAAAAGGGTAGAAGTGCATTCTAAAATCTTAAGCAATCGTTGTGTTCAGTGAGTTCTAATTAACGATAAAGTTATCCTGAGATAAATTTCATGCAAGGAAGTGGACTGTTTGAACCCTGCAGCATTCTCTTTCTGCAAGTCAGTTGACGCCCTGTGTTTTATAAAAAATAATTTCAAAATTGAGTAATAAGTTCATGATTTTTTAAAAATTCCCTAATACCAAACATTGTGCAATAATAAATAAACTTAATAGAAATAATTTTAAGGGAGTAGGTACACTTCTGCTCCAGCACATTTTAATTCTCTAAAGAAATTTTTGGCTCTTACTACATTTGGCTCTTATTACATTTATGAGGTACAAAGGCCATGTCACAGATTGTCTCAAAGCACTGGTTTTCCTTTGATGTTTTGTCCTGTATTCCCACATAGAAATACTCCAATCTCCATGCAAAACACTCTGCCACTTTACTGAGTGAAAACTAAATGAAAATAGAGATGTGATTAAGTTCATCTGCAAAATAAGAGAGTAACAAAAGATTCAGTGTGAAAAGGCTTTCAAACTAATCTAAATATTCATTATTGAACTTCAATAAGCTTCTCTAGTTCAATAGCAACGCACAAGCACATGCCACCTCTGGCGGTTACAGCTACCACACTTTTGCAAGTTTTGTATTCAAATGCCATTTCTAAACCACAGGCTAGGTGGGTTACTGGCTGCAAGTGCTCCAGGTGCGAAATCAAATGACGCCTTAATAACTGCTATTTTTTATCAGTATCCAAATAGACCTTTTACCCTCCATTAGCAGAGGGCTGTGGCTCAACACGGTTGTGGAGAAGTTTCCCAAAGCCACAAGGTGTCACAACGGTAACTAAACTCGCCGCGAATAACGCCAGGACAGAGGTGCTTTCTTTCAGGACCCTAGATTCCTCGCTTCCCGCCAGGAGCTGCGTGGGTCGCAGACCGGAAAGAAAATGTCACAGCCACTTATCAGTCGTGACACTTGCGGCAGGAGACGTGAGGCCCCGCCCACGCCAGCAGAGGCTCCGCGGAGACCCAAAGGGGGAGTGGCCGGCGGGTCACGACGTGTGGGCGGGGCCGTTCCTCAACCCCGGCAGGGCTTGCAGGCCATCACGTGGAGGGTGGGGGCGGAGCCTCGGCCCGGAGTTTCCTGGGTGGCCACGACTGCGGCCCAGAAGCCAGGTGCCCGGGCGAGGCCTTCCTTCCTCATCTCACCTGAGCTGGGCTGGGCTGGGCCCGGGCACTCGCGGGCCTCGGTTTCCACACCAGGAACCGTTTCAGCCATCCTGAGGCTGACTCTGGAGTCGCAGTCGCTTCTGCTTTCTCTCCTGAGGTTTGTGCGCTCTGGCTCGAAGTGCTGGGTTCGGCCGTCAGCCCGGCCCGTTTACGGGCTGCCCGGAACTCGGCTAACCGCTGTTCCATGGCGCGCGCCCTCCGGGCGCTCCTGGGAGCGCGCTCAGCAACGGCCAAGCTGGGCCGCAGTGCGCCTGCGTATCCGCAGCCTTTGCTGCGCGTGCGTGGTGGGGCTCGGGAGGGGGCGGCCCGCGTGCGCCGTTTGTGACGTTAGGTGGGCTGTGTGTGCTAATAGTCCCCTCCAAACGCGCGAGGATGCAGTGTGCACAATTAAGAATCTAAGGCATAAAGATTGTTCCACTGTTCCTTTCTCTTGCCCCGGGCTCCTCTGATGGAAGCTCTGCTGTGTGCCGTCTTCAGGGATCTGCTCTCCAGCATGTGGAGCATCTTTTAGTAGTTGAGTGCTCATATTGGGCGCCAGATTGAGGAGGTGGACCGAGGGCATTGAAAGAAGCCCATGATTTGGGGGAGGTTCTGGTATCAGAAGGAAGATGGGACACAGCCTCCCCTTTTCCTTTTAACAACTATGCCAATCTCAGCACTTAGAGGGTGGCATTTTCACTGCTCACATGGCAGGCAGGCCGTGCAGACCTTTATTATTGCTGTTACCAAAATGGGAACTACCTGTTGATGTCTCTAGATAGGTCAGAAATTTAAAAATTTTTGTTAGGGTGCAGCTTAAAATACACAAATATTAAGTGTATGGCTCAATAGGTTCGTACATACATACCTATACACCTATATAACTACTACTCAGATAAAGAATGTTTCTGGTACACTGATGGCTCCCTTTTGCCCTCTCCCAATCACTACTCACCCAAAAGGTCACAATTCAGGTCAGGGACTGTTAGATTATTAAAGCTCTAAGCATCTAGCTAAGTGCTACTCAAATATTTTTTGGCTCTTGCTGAGTGTGAGTCAAGAAATTAGATAAATTAGAATCGAGTCTTTTGTTCATTTAACAAAATATCAAGAGCCTGCTATCTATCCAGTATTGTACCTGGCACTAGAGATGCTGGAGTGAAAGAAAGCAACCGTTTTCTTGGCGTTTACATTCTAAATAGACAAACAAATGAATAACTACATATTTATTTTTAATATAATGATAGGTACTGATTAGTGCTATGGCGAAACATAAAGTAAGGAATAGGAATGGTGGGGCTATTTAGAGCTAATGACCAGGGAAGACTTCGAGGAGTTGCCATTTGAGCAGATATCTAAATGAAATGAGTGACACACGTAGCTATCAGTAGAAGAGTGTTTCAGAGGAAACAGTAAGTGCGAAGATCCCACAGCCTCAAGTAGTATGCTTAACCTGCTCACAGAGCATCAGGAAGGCCAGTATAACGAGAAGAGGGAGGGAGGGAGAGAATGCTAGCAAATAAAGATGCACAGGTATCCAGGGGCCAGATCATGTAAGATCTTATAGGGCATGTTGGAGATTTTGTATTGCATTCTGAGTGTGATAGCAATTGATGGGAGGATTTTGAGCAGGAGATGACATAATACAGCATTTTTAAAGGATCACACTGGCTGCTGGAGGTGGGGCCGTGGAAGAGTCCAAGAGTAGAAGGAGGGAAACCTATTGGGAGCAGGTACAGTAGTATGAGACTGGCTGTTGGGGCTTGAGTGGTAGTGATGGAGGTGGTGAGAATTGGTCAATTCTGAATATATGTTGAAGATCTGAGCCACTGTGATGTGCAGATGGATTGGTGTAGAATGTGAGAAAAAGGAATCAAGGATGGCAGATTTCTGTCACTCCTCCTCACCCGACACGTACCCTGAGCAACCAAGTGAATGATGGTGGGGCCCTCTACTGGAGTGGGGGAAGACTAGGAAGAGAGCATTATGTAATAAACATGGAGAGTTTGTTTTGGACATGACAAGAGTTTGAGATGCCTATTGGGCATCCAGTGTAAGCAGTTGGATAGTGAAAACTGGAATTCAGGGAAGAGTCAGGACTGGAGATACATAGTGGGAGTCATCAGCATGTGTATGATATTTAAAGCTATGAGGCTAGATGAGATCACCTAGAGAGTGTGGTTAAGCAGAGAAGATATTTTAGGACTGAGCCCTGAATAATTAGAGATGGTTTATAAGACAGAAAAGATTAGAGTCTTTATACTACGGTGACCTCTCACTGAGAAACTACAGAAAAAATGTTTCTTGCCCATCTTGGTGCCAGGAGTAGGTCTCCTTCTTTCCAGGGACTGGAGATTCTTTTATTGATTGTGTTTCCCACTTGATAATCACACTGAGACCTCAAAACTGTGTTTATGGTCTATTTCTAAGACTTAAGGCATGCGGTTTGTGGGCTGTTGCAATCAGGGTCCCTGGCAAGAAACATGGCACCTTCAGAGGGTTTTGTGAAGGATTTAGTTACAAAGGTGTGGCAGGATTAAAGAAGCCAGCAAGGGATGGTTCACAGGAAGTGTTACCAGCCTGTAAGCCTCAAACAGCAAGAGGACAGAGTGGTCATCAGAACCCAGCGAGACATGTAGCTATAGAAGAAGCTGGAGACAGAGGGAGCCCTTACTGGAGCAGAGAGTAGGGGGAGAAGGGTGGAAATAGAATTGAGAGGAGCACACAGAGAATATCCAGCCAGATGCTAAAGTCATTCCAGGTCCATCTTGCTCTGGTAACCTTATTTTCCCTTTACATCATTTTCTGAATTTTGTAAATTTATTTTGTCTCAGTGCTTTGCAAACCTCTTTAAATCCTTTTTGGAAGAGATTGAAACAATGGAAAAAAGTGAAAATGAAAGAAATGATAATGAAGAGCAATTGCCAAATTAACTTCAGTTACTTTTTGGAAAAGATTATGAGAGGAGTAAATAAGAAGGGTCTCAAAGTTTACTTATAATATGTGAATTTAATTTTTATTGTGAAATACATTGTACATACAATCATGTAT